CCCACCCCCAGTAATCAGACGTGAAGGATTTCAGCAGCACAGTCTTCTGGCTCTGTGTAATGTGAAGAGTTTGTGTCTGAATGGTGAACCCCAAGCATTTCTTTACTTTCGAAGTTTGGCTCCATTAGTGCAGGTTTTTCAAAAATATTCTTTTTGCTAGTTTCTGGACAGTTTTGTACATATATTACTCGGTTATATGCTTTAAGTCTCTTCCACAGCTGTACGTACACTTTGCATTGTACGTACATGAACAGAAGTCCTCCAGTGAAGCCAATAGCCACAACCACCAACTTAGTCCAAAACGGCCACTCTAGGATCCCTGGAAGGCAGAAAATAGAAGAAAGAAAAAGAACTTGGTCAATATTGGCTGGACTACATTGGATTTCTCAAAAACATCCTTAAGGAAATTCTCACAGAGTTTGTGCCACACAAATTATTCTTATTTTGCCATTTTTCTTGTTTGGCCTTTTTTTCCTCCCCTTCAAGTCAAACATATGCAGACTTCTACTTCATTTATTCTCACCCACCAGAGGAAAAACAAAACAATTGATTATCTGTATCTGAGTCCTTGCAGAGCACAATCAGAGTCAAGGTAACAGCCAGTAATATGTTTAGGTCCTTTTACACTCGTTTCTAAACAATAATTGGATGAGATTACAAAAGGGCTTCTATGGCATGGTTTCCTCTTCATAGCAGGAGACAATTCAGTGACCCAAGAAGTCTGTTCTGCTCTGTGACCACACAGCACATCACAGAACGCTGGAGTAACAGTCTTCACATGGAGTAACAGTCTTCAAACTCAAAAGGGAATGACTGTTACCATCTGACTTGACATGTTCTTTATGCAGACCAGACAAATTTATCTGCATCAGACCCAGCAGCTTGTAGTTCAACTAGAGCACTTCTTCTGATGCAAAACTGCAAGTGCTGGAGATGCTGAAACATTCTGAGAAGCTTGCTCTCTGCCATTAAAAATTACCATTATTACCTTTTCTGAATTTGTCCAGCTTGAACTTTTAGACATTGGATCTTGCTACATCTCTATCAAATGTTTTTAAATGAGAGACTATTAAATTTATACATCTTCTGCTTACATACATCCTGTGTCCACCCAGCTTCTCTCCTCTTTAAAGATAAGCGGCATCACGAGATGGACATAAAACCATGAGGAATCCCCACTATCAGGTTTCTCTGAGAATAAAATCATGGCCTTCTAAGTCTTCACAGATACAGGCCAGTGTTGTTTTGGAAATGCATGGCAGCATTAGAGGAATGAAAATATGTTAGCCCCAAAATACAAAGGGCACTGCAGCATGACTACTGATGAAATCCTACCCGTGATTAATACCTGAACGCCTGATTCACAGGTGAGTTATCTGATGCCATCTGTAGGCAATGATATGTTTGCCCCTGTGCAGACATGAATGCATACCCACACACACTCCCCACACCCCCCAGCTCATGACAGCACTTCCTAGATTTAGAATCCAAACGAAGGGAACAAAGAAGGCACTACAATGTGTACTACATATTCTCACTATTCCTTCTATCTATGTTCATCTAATATATTTATTGGCTAAAATAACCTGGAGATGATAAAGCTTTGAAAGTATATGCTTTTCATTATCATATGGAAACCTTGCATTGAAAGGCCAACAATTTTCACTGAACATAGAAGAAATGGGGTTGGATGGAATAGAAACTAAAATATTTCATTCAAAACAGCTTCCTGACTGAAGTAATGAACAACCAGACTACAGCTCAAATGAGAAATGACAGCAAAACTGTTCTGTCTGAAGTGTGTTTCTGCTCTGAAGACACTGTTAACAGCTCTGTGGATTTGCAGGTTTACTGATGCTCAGCTACCTCCCCAGATGATACCCTTCAATCACTAGCAAAACATTTTCCAACTGCATGTCTAGTTGGCATGCAGTGCTCTATGAGCAAGAACAGCTTGCCCTCTGATGCCTCGCAGCCTTGGTAGATACACTCTGTCCCTTCTATCTCCACCTTCAGGGACAGCTCAACTGCCTGAGAAACAGCTCTGTGACAGTTTCAAATTTGCAGCCCAGCACATCCAGGTAAACAGATTTCAGTGTGGTAAGGTTACAGCTGGCATAGTAAAGAAAACCTACTATTCAAGAAGTTCAGACATCCCTGCAGTGGGGTGGCATCCACTACATGAACTGCAGTGCACCTCATCTCAACTGCATGAACTGGACTCCTAAGACTCAACCTGAATTTCTTCTGCTTCAGGCACAACCACTCATAAAAATATCTCCCGTGTTCTCACAGGAAACTTGTGCTAACCCACCTCATGGATGACTGAATGGAAAGAAAACCCTGCTTATTTACCTCAGAGACTTGGACTTAGGTTCCTCTTATTTATTCTCTTTTAAAACACTGGTCTGGTTTTGCCCATTTAAAAGGTTTGGATTTAGGTTCCTCTTATTTCTTCTCTTTTTAAACACTGGTCTGGTTTTGCCCATTTAAAAGGTAGCCATAGCAGCAAACAAACGCTTATGTTCTTATCTGCTCAGTAAGTGTTCCAATTTAAAACTAAATTAGGTAAGGCAGTGCAATTTTGTGTCTGGCTACAGTGGATTAGCTCTCATATCTGTGCATTTCACAAGTGCAAACTAAATTGACTTGAAATAGACTTAAAAAGCACCCACAGATGAATTTACACTGATTTAACTAAATCATTTTAGAACTGTGATTTTAAATCAACCCAATCTCAGGCTAAAGCTGACTCGTCTAAGTATAAACGTTACCTGCACATTCAGGCTCCACATCCTCTCTGTATTGAGGATAAATAATGATTCCAAGAGAATAAGTGGGAAGATAACCAAGTAACGTACCAGTAGTCTGTCCCTGTTTAATCTCTTCTGCAGTCCTGTCTATCAGAACATAGAGAGACCACACGACGCAGGTGATGGCGATGATATGGAATGTTACGGAGCACATGATCTTCCTCCTCTCGCTGGCCGTCATCTGCAGCTTCTCCCACTGGCAAGAAACCCAGAAGCAGAGCAAGAGATGAAGTGTTTATTGTAGTTACTAGAAATTATAAAAAGAGAACGTTGATAAGAACAAAAACCAGGCAGGAGATCAGTTACCTCCTAACATGAATTTTAAAGGTGAGACACCATTATTGCTCTGACCACAGCATGTGTGCGACAGCTGGCGGCTCACGCTGCTGCAATGGGAGCCATCCTGGTGCCGGAGGGGACCTCCAGTGCTCAGCTCCAATCCAGAGCCTCAGCACAATGTCACTGCACCCTGCTCACCCACACAGCGTCACTCCAGCACCGAGGGACCCTAACACAAGGTCTTGTGCAGCACAAGCAAGGCTGCTCCTTCGTGTGCTCCCCACTGAACAGCGGGTACCCACAGTCACCACTGAGTGGCAAAGAGTACCCAGGCATTCAATAAAACACCGTAATAAAAGTGGTACATGATCCAATTGAGCGGTGTGTGTAAGACATCTCACGCTAGGCTCTGTTGGAGTCCCTTGGTGCACAGTCAAGGCTGTTTAGCTCTCAGCTCAAGGCTGTTTGGTTCTCACCTCCTACCTCTGGGGGTTTCATTAAATCTTCACGTATATTTAACACAGCTTACAGCAGCAACACCCATATTTTATTTTCAGTCTTTCCAGTGCACTTAAATACATGTGCCCTAAGAGTATGCAGTAAAACGGGGAGGATGGCTTTTGTAAGTAAGAGGATGCAGCAAATTAAATCTCCAGACTTGCATCTTTCAGTAATGTTTATACAGCCCAAATACAAACCACGCTGTCACAAAGAAAGTAGACAATTATTATAGATGCTTCTAATATGCAAGAAATTGTTCAAAACCAGCTTTTTGTTACCTGAGACACCTGGAAGTTTGTATTGGGTTTTCTGTGAGGGGTTTTTGGTTGAGTCTTTGGTAACAGGGGAAGGGTTATGGAGATGACCCTTCAAGAAGCCACCTGAAAAGCTCCCCCTTTGCCTTTGTCAGACCCACCTCTGACCACGGCCAAGCCAATCAGCGCCCCTGCGAATTCATGGATTTAAGGAGGGTGCAGGGCATGCCTCGCTCTCTCTCTCTGGCACCAGCCCTGACCAACTTAAGCTTAAGCCCCACTGCAGCGTCATCCCAAAAAAAAGAGAGAGAGCCGGGAT